TTTTTTTTCTCGTAGCCGTTTTTCTGCTAGATATCTTTCATAAGCCTTTTTGTCGCGTTCAGATGCCGGTCTATTAGAGATGGGTGGATTATATTTCTCTCCCTTATCAATCAAAACTTTCAAGCGGTCACACTCTTGGTTAATTTCACCTATTCCACTTAGCGGATCTTTATCACGGATGCCATTTTCCCAACCCGGAGGAAGTACCTGTTCTTTGGTTAGTCCGTTAATCAAACTTTCTTCAGCCTTTTGGTTTCAATAATCATTAACAGAATTGGTGGTTCTGGTTCAAATAGCATTTTTTCTTGCTTCTTTTTCTGCTATTTTGGCTTGTAAATCGCTTTCTACAAATGGCATACCCCTCACTTGTGTTCGCGGTTCCCTTTGCGAAGAAGATTGATTATTTTGATTATTGGGCTGGTTATTAGAAGCAGTTGAATTAGAAGCCGAAGCCTGGGTCGCTTGTCTCCTCCCAGCATTTTGTCTCCCTGGCGTAGGGGGAGGTGGCGGAGTTGGAATTGTGCTACTCCCTGATAGAGGGGGAGGCGGAGGAGGCGGGGGAACATTGCTTCTCGGCACAGGTGGAGGTGGCGGAGCAACAGGAATATTAGAGGTATTTCTGTCGTTTTCGTTATTACTAGTCATATTATTATTATTTTTTAGTAGATTATTCAATTTGGTTAAAGTCTCCTCCGCCTTGGTCTTTTTTTGAGTTCAAATTTAGGGGTTTATTTTTAGGGCAAGGGGACTTGATTTAGGGAACTTAGCACATTTTAATTAGGGTCCATTCATCAAACTACTGTGATTATCTAACTTTCAATAATGCAAGCATAAACATTTTTATAGTTAACACCTACAATTATTCCATCGCCTTCATTATCACGACACAATTTTCTAGCCTGGATATTCAAACCAGCATCTTTTCGATTGAGTAGTATTGCAAGGAAATTATTTTCTAAATAGGAAGTGGGGATTAACTTGTTAGTAATATGTCCAATATCTTTTTTGCTTATAACTTTTTCATTGAATATTAAAACAACTTCTTCTAATAATTTTCTCTTTGCCTCCAGTCATTTAATTATTTTTGCTTTATCTTTTTTGAAGTCCTTGACATAGAGGATTTTTTGTTGTTCATATTTTTTTTCTTGGCAGAAAGCCTTGGGAAATACTCTATCGATGAAACTACTCCATTTCTCTGCTCTTATTTCTACAAACATTCTAACGAAATTTGTATTGTTTGCTGCTTCTTTTTTCTCTTCATCTACATTTGTGTCCATGTCTTCATCACAGGAAGAAAATAAACCTTTGGATAATACTCGGGCTGGCAAAATCTCATCTATGTCAGGAAAATAAATATTACTCCCCTCATTCCAAATTTCGTAATTTTTTAATTGTTCGGCTTTAATATCTTTTCTTCCAAAAATTCATTTATTAAGCAAATTGAGTAGAATACTTACTTTTCTTCCGTCGTCTAATTCGGCTGTTAATTTTTCTTTATTGGTTTGACAAGCAATAATTTTAGGTTGAGAAAAATTTGCCCCTTTTACCCCCAACTTTATTTCTCTATTAATTTCCTTTACTGCTATACTTACCATAATATAAACTATTTTAACTCTATTCCTACCTTTTTTAATTCTTTTTTGACTCGGGTTATAATTAAATCATAATAGTCATTGATAAAATCTTTTATTTTTCTTTGTTTATGCTGGGGAATATTACCTCTTTTAGTCTCAATATACAAATTGGATTTTTCTTTAATTAGCAAATATACTCTTATTTCTCCTTCTTGACCAATAACATGAATATGAAGCAGTTGCTTAGCTTTTCCTCCTGGCAAGACAAATTCATCAGGATAGAAAGTTAATTTATAACCACCATAGGGTTTTATAGATTCATCTTTTTTAAATAAATTAACCATTTTATAAAGTTATTTTGCTTCAACATCTCAATAAATCAATCTCTACTCCTACCCGAAACTTCAACATCCCTTCTTTTAACATATTTACTCATTTGCTTATTAAATCCCCTTTTTTTCGTAAAACACAATTTTTAAGTTTACTTTTGGCTTTTTCTTGTAAGTTAAAACAAAAATTAACCAAAGGATTATCAGTCTCTTTTTTATTTTTGGTAATTTTCCTATATTCTATAAATCTTTTTTTTTTGCTTCTTTTCCGTTTTAAAATAGTATTAATATATGCTCTATGACTTGATTATTATTGGTGCCGGACCAGCCGGGTTGACGGCGGCCATTTACGCCAAACGAGCACTTTTGAAATGTCTAATTTTAGAAAAATCTTTAGCGGGTGGCAAATTAAATAAAACGGCCGATGTAGATAATTATCCAGGCTTTACTTCTATCAAAGGGCCTGAACTAGCCCAAAAAATGACCGAACACACTAAAAATTATGAACTTGACTGAAAATCGGAGGAAGTATTGAAATTAGAAAAAAAAGAAAAGGACTTTATTGTGAAAACGGGTGAGGGAAATAATTTTACCAGCAGAGCAATTGTTATTGCCTCTGGGGCCGTGGAAAAAGAATTGGGAATTGAGGGTGAAAAAAAATTTACTAATTTGGGGGTTTCTTATTGTGCCATTTGCGATGGGTTTCTTTTTCGGAACCAAGAAGTAGCAGTAGTGGGCGGCGGTTATTCGGCTTTGGAAACGGCTTTGTATATGAGTAATGTAGCAAAAAAGGTTTATTTTATTCACCGCCGCTCGGAATTTCGGGCCGAGCCGGAAATAGTAATCCAAACTCAAAACAATCCGAAAATAATCTTTCTTTTGAATTCCGTTTTGACCGAAATTCAGGGGGGTGAAGCAGTAGAAAAAGTATTAGTGAGCAATTTAGCAAACAATGAAAAAAGTGAGTTATTAGTTAAGGCGGTTTTTCCCTGTATTGGCCTTGCTCCGTTCAGCAGTTTCGCTCATGAGTTAGGTGTTTGCGACCGAGAAAATTATGTCGCCATTAAAGATGATTGTTCGACAGCAGTTCCAGGTTTGTTCGCTGCCGGAGACGTAGCTCGTCCAACCCCCAATAAAATCAAGCAAATTGTGACGGCCGTTGCCGAGGGGGCCATTGCCGCCCAATCAGTAATCAAATATTTGAAAAAATAAAAGGCAGCAAAGCATTAGGCAAAAAAGGTAAATAAGAGAGAGGCTAATCAACATTGCTAAAAATGACACTTATCGGATAGAAATTTGGAGTGAGAACTACCCCACCTAACTCATGAGAGTTTGAGGCGGGAACTTCTTTATAATTTTAGCAATTAAGAAGAACAAAATTA